TTTTTCGTTACTAAAATTTTGATAGTAAATGCAATCTTCATTACTCTAAATTTTGGTTATTTTTCTTTTCTACCATCATTTAGAAGAGCCAGCTTGGGGCACAAAGTAAGTCATATTCTTTGTACTATTCCCATTATATGACTGGGCCTCTATCCAGACAATTCTAAGAATTATTTCCCAACCTCCCTGATAACTCCAAATTCACTAAGAATATTTATTTATAATCAGTCATGATTATCCTGAAGAGAGAAAACTGGAAAGCATCCTCATTCATCATTATAAAAGGCAGTAAAAAGTCCCTCCACTACCTTTGATTCACATGATAAGTTTACTTCTCAGAATCTATTTTTCCATTGATTAACTTAATGTGATCATGATTATTTTCCCAGCTCTCACAGAGTATAACAGAAAAATATAAGATACATTAAAAGTTATGGAAGCTCAAAATCATTAGACTTTAATATCATTTTACTAGTGTCAATCATTCTGTAAGCATAGAATAAGGAACCACTGTTGCCCATGTTTTTTTTACTGTTTCATGCCCATGTGTAGCCTTAAATTTACAGGGAGAATATATTGGTTCTCAAGCAGCTTAAATTTTATCTGGGAAGAGAGACCACATCAAAAGCAGTAAAAATATACATGGCATACTTCTATAGATATAAAATGACAGTATAAAAAAGTGTATTATGCCACTAGAATGCCAATTGGAAGAGTAATCTGATGTTGGGGGTGTTGAGCAAGAAAGGCTTTTGAAAAAGTTCTTGGGTCAGATTTTGAGGAAAGTTTTAGACAAGGATTTATAGGAGAGAGAGAGCAAGTGGTATTTTTGCAGAGCTTTTCCTTTCAGGAGTTCAGTCAGGCCACACTTATTCTTTTTCTGCAAGACTTTGAAGGCTATTTTGTAGTATGTTGGCAGAGTTGATATTTTTTAATGCTCAAAAATATATAGACAGTCAAGTGTACTATATATAGAAATGAGAAAGAATAACATTGGTAATCATCTCTAGTCTCAGTTCAGTCTTGTCATTTTCCTCATTCTATTCAATAGAAACACTGCACTTTCTGCAGGAGGTAATAACACATTTCATACATGGATACTGACACTGAGGAGCTTACAATTTCCCTTAGACATTTAGGCTCCTAAGTGAGAAATTAAACAATATGCAGTAGCCACCTCTGTTACAGGTGGGGAGCGCTCCTTATCCCCACCTGTTTCTGGGAGATGTGAGTTTCTCACAATATCACGAGAAAAGGAATTTTCTGAGACTCACAAGAGAGGATGAGTTATTGCAGGAAATTTTATTTCTGTGGAATTAAACCCCTGAGTTTCCAAGGTTCCACTTCCCTTCATCTCACCGCAGACATAGGATTAGAGTTGTTGCCCAGAATTTCCATTCCCTGTTGGGACACAGTCCAATCCAGTACCGGCCAGCTTAGTTCCCTGCTGCAGTTTATCAGCCCACTGCCTGTGGGTTCCGAAGGGCCCACAGCTATGGAGGGAACATGGGCAAGAGAGCCACAAGCCAAGAGTCAAGAGCTGCAAGAGCCAAGGGAGTGAGAATTCCTTTGTCGGAGATTATGTAGCCCCCAAGTTTCACAGGTTTTTAGTGACTGCCCCTCTGGCTAATGATCTGTTTCCAGGTTTGACTGACAGGCATCTTCCCTATGTCACCCCCACTCACTGAGCATGCACCCAGCTTCCCCTTTGTCCAGTCTCTTCCCCCGGTGTTCTGCAGGGAATGGACTGGAGGTTCCCTGGGGAGTGTAAAGTTGCAGCTTCCTGGTGAAGCTGCCCAAATGACCTGCCTATAATGTATGGCTTCCCCCTTTGCTCCTTTCCCATTATTAATAACTAGCTCATTACAATGGTATCACCTGGACATACAAGTAAAGTCACAAGGTGGTGGCTGATAAATATTAAAAATATCAGTGCAGACGAGGCCTAGCGAAGTCCATCAGAGGCAGAATCTTTGGGGGCTGGCTTGGAGGACAAGGGCTCATGAAAGAGATGTAACAGCAGGGAAACTACAAAGGTCCTCTAAACCAAGATGACTCCCTCCTACGACATCACTAATAAATGGCTCTTCTTTATTTTTTTTCTCTCTCCAGTAATAGAGAATTCACTTTCATAAGACATCTTATTTCAAGTTCTTAGAGAGACAACTTGCACTTCTTCCTTATGCTCAGCCCCAAATTAGCTTTCTTATTAAAGCTGATCGTGCTATCCAAATCTTGAATGATAAGAACACGAAATATAAGAAGTATAAGAGCTTCTTCCTTATATTCAGCCCCAAATTAGCCTCCTTATTCAATCTGACAGTGCTATCCAGACCTTCCCTGTGTTGGTCATTCTCAGGGGCCACAGTGTATCACAGATTTGCTGGCTTATTTATTCATTTGCCCTCCAAGCTGTACTGCCAGCCCTGATATAGCCACAGCATCAGAACTGCGACCAGGAGAAACCTCCTGTGTTTATTCCAGTGCATTAACTGTTATCACCTATTAAGTAATGGATTGTGAAGCATTGCTCTGTATAGTGTGGTAGTGAAGAGATCCAGGTTCTGGAATCAGACAGACCAAAGTTAGAATCTTGGCTCTGTTAGTTATTAGTTCTCATATTTTGGGAAAGAGATGACAGCATTTTAAACCTCAATTTTTACACTATAAAATGGGTACAGTAATACTGGATACCTCATAGAGTTGGTATAAGAAAGATAACAATTAGGACTAATAAAATTCTATTATTGTTATGTTTTCTGCTTTTACCCTCTTTTTTTTCTTTTCAGAAAGAGGAAGGAAGAGGGGAAAAGAGAAACAACAGTGATAAAAGAGAATCACCGATCAGCTGCCCCAACTGGGGATCCAACCCGCTCACTGGGAATCCAACCATGACCTCCTGTTCATGGCTTGATGCTCAACCTCTGAGCCACACTGGCTGGCTGCTTTTACCCTCTTTAATCATGATATACAATTTCTGTCTATTTTACAAACTTCAAATTATTTAAAGCTAGTTTTTCCTTTCCTCTAGGTCTCCTCCTCTGGCTAAATATCCCAAGTTCCTTCAGCATCTCCTTATCCAATGTGAGTTCAGATTTTCTTCAACTTTTTACCCGCTCTCTTCTAGATACCCTATGGTGTCTTTGTGTTCCCTTTTAAATATACAGTCCTAAGAACAGACTGAATCTCTGTAAATGTGGCTGGATGAGATTGTCCTTGAATAGTGGAGAGAACAGGGAAATGGAGGAAGGATGTTCTCACTGCAGAACAGGGTAATGAGCAAAGAAAAAGAAACCATAATACACATGTCATCTTTACAAAGCACATGGGCCCAACTTGCTAAAAGAGAGACACAGGGGGAAAAAGACTTTTAAGGGGATGGATTGGGAAGTCCCTGGAACTATGAGACTATGGGTTCTATTAATATAAAAGAAAACCAACAAAATCATCACTATAGGAGACTGATGTATCACTTGAAAACAAGCAACCACAGAATTTCTGGCCACTCACAAATAGCAAAATGCTATAAATAGTATAACCCCTGTTGCTCCCCTTGGATGAAAGCAATCAATAACCCTAGAATCACCCCAAAGGAGATGGTGAAAACTTGGAGATGATCCACAAACCACATATTTCCTTTGGCTGCTGCAGTCCACTCTGGCTAGAAAGAGGTTAATTAATGACCCCAAGGAATTCCTTTGTCCTAATGTGGGAGTCACAACTCAGTAGCTTCAACCTCCAGATTTCCTTTGTTTCTAACCCTTTGTCTTCTTGCCTTCTGGTCCTCTCTCTATTCATTCAGTTTGCCTAAGACTTGGGAGCTGTTGTGATTCATGCCCCACCTCTGCTGAGCACTAGCTGTATGACTTTGGGCTACTCAGTTTTCTCTTCTGTAAAACAGATCTTCACAGGACTTTAAAAATTAATTGTGAGCATTAAATGAGTTAATGTGCAGGTTCCCCACCCCTCTTATCCAAAAGTAGAATGCTCCTATGAAACCTTTTGTAAGCTGAAATGGCCTGAAGTAAAGTAATTACCATTAATGTACATGGGGAACATTTTTGGGCATTCCCAGATCTCAGAAATAACCTACTAAATCATACCAAATAAAACCTAAAATCACACTAACATAGTAAAAGGAATGATGTGATAAATACACAGCCTACGTAGAGTAGAAAATAGTATGTGTACCATGTTGTTTCACTCACCAGTGCGTACTGCCTCTACAACAGCTTGCTGCAAACAAATGCCGACCACTATTCTGGCTTTTCACTTTTTTTCATAAAAGTCAAAATCCTCTCTGGATTACAAGTCGAGGTGGCATTAGGCCAACTTTCAAAAAGCCGAGTACCTGTGTCTAAAGAGATGAGGAGAGTCTGGCAATGTGCTATTTATGTCCATTGTTACTTTGTACCATTACTGTTCATGATTCAACAGATACCAGACACTCTGCACAGGGGATGTGAAGGTGAACAGGACAATCTCTTATCCTCAATAGCCACATTTTTCCTGATTTTGTGGGCAAGGTAATGACTTTAGAAACAGGTTCCTGGATACAATTTATTAGCAACCACTTATTGTCTTTGAAACCTTGGATGAGGCATATAATTCCTCTAAGCCTCTTTCCTCATCTAGAAAAGGATTAATAAAGTCCAATTAGATGTTTTCTATTTAATCAGACAAAATATGCATATATTTTGGTAGGAACTAAATGTACACTCCTTCCCCCATAATCCTGTGTCTACACCTGAGGCTGGGGGACCCCGCCTTGAGTTTAGGAGGCAGGAGTGTGGAGGTATAGGGAAGGGCAGAAACCAGGAGGTGGGAGAGAGAACAGACCTGAGGGAGACAGGCAGCCCCACCCCCGCCCCCGGACTACATCTCCCGGGATGCTCCGCTAGAGGGAGCGCCCCCGCCCCGCCCCGCCCCGCCCCTCTGGCACCATGGGCGCAGCCCACCGCGAGGAGCTCCACTGCTTACGGTGGCTACAAGTGCCACGGCGGTGATCACGGACTTTCCCGAGGAACCCGCGGGGACTAGCGCGGTTCTGCAGCCGCACTGGGTGGCCCAAGCAGGTGAGTAGCGGAGAGCAGAGGAGAGGAGGCACTGGAGCGAGGGAGGGACCCCGGGAGCCTGGCGGAGCAGGGGAGCGCGTCCCCACTTTCTGCCCGAGGTGCCTGCCCAGCTTCAGGGTACTCGGCGAACGAACGCAGCCCAAGCCCGGGTGCTTCCCGAGGGTGCGGAGTTCACCCGGAATGAATTGATTGATTCCTCGCTGCCCAGTGCTTGCAGCGCGTGGTCCCCGGCACAGCGCTCCCAGGACGCATGCCGAGGTCGCCCTCCCCAGACCAGCCTCGCCCGTGTCAGTTAGTTCCAGCGCAGATATTCATGCTTTAATGGATGGCGACAGACGAGGGAGATTGCTGTCTCCTTGCTTTGAGGTGCAGTTTTATCAATTGCGCTCTTAAACCGGAGAGAAGAAAGGGAAAGGAGGGCTGGAAAGAGCCTTTAGCAGGTCTCCTGGGATTATTTCTTCTCCATCGAGGATGGAAACCCCGGATCAAGGAGCTGCAAAGGAAATCCACTGTAAGGCTAGTATATCGCCCTTGGAACCAGAGGAGTCTCTCTTTGAAGAAAAGATAGACAGACGTAGGACCTGGGAATCAAGTGCAGATTTCTCTCCCTCTTTGTTATTATAAATTGGAAGCTCCCTAAGGGACTTTGCGGATTTTATCCCAAGTAGTCCAGTGCGATGAGTTCATTGTGCCAAAGGTTCATCGGGGCGCCTAATGTCTGAGCGACCTGCGAGATGATTTCTCCTTTCAGTAATCAAACTCCTTACATCCCTTCGTTCACTGAGGGATCCTGCAGCAGGGATCTGTCCACTCGCTCAGGGAAAGCTCTGGTTCAGTTGTGATTTTCCTGCACTTGGTGTATTTTTGTTTGTTTTGTTTTAGCTGCAGAGAAACTCCAAAAATAGAAGGAAAGTGGGTTTTTAAAAAAGCTAATGTATAACAGAAAACATGTGGATTCCCTCTCCCATATTTTAAGTGAGTTGTCAGATTGACCTTAGCCTTACCAGTGCTTCTGTGTGGGTTACCAGCTCGTGGAGCTGTGGATTTTGAATCATAATAAACGCCCAAGCCTTGGGTTAAATCAATTACTACCCTGGACTTGGGGGCTTTATTTTCTTTGAAACCTCTGTACTTGAGAAAGTGAATTTTTATTCCTCAGAAAAATGTCAGAGGCAGAGAACGATGGGCAAATGGTTTTCTGTTTAACTTAATAGTTCTGTCCCAGGAAGGTCCCTTGCTGCGCTGGGGGTGAAGGAGTGTCATGGATACAAAGTTCCAGAGGTACCCTTGGAAATTGCTTCTCACCTATTTGCCTCAACCAAACCCTGACTCTGTGGGTTTATAATTCGTCTTTTGTTGTCAGCTTGCTTCTAGATTGGGTTTGTAAAACTTCTGGTCAAGATCCTGTGCACTTGTGTTAGCAAACCCTGCAGAGGGAGAGGAACTCAGACCCATGCAGAGTTAGTGAGCAGCAGTAGTCGACCTGTACCTGGAGCAGGCAGAGGTGTGTGTGTGTGTGTGTGTGTGTGTAGGAGTGGGTTGGCATATAGTATTTGCCGGGATCACACCATGAGGCATGTTGTCTACATACTTCCAGGTCCATAACATGCTGACCTCGTGTAGCAGCAAGGGGATGGGTTAAGAAGGGAAGCACAGTGAACAAGCTTGGGGTCTTGTAAATACAGGGCTGTGTGACCAGGGTCATTGGACGCATGCAGTGCAAGGTTAGGAGAGGTGGCTGATTAAGCTGCCGTCTCTCACCCACACAGTCAAAATGCTGAGCCCCAGCTCCAACAGAGCCCAACTGATAGTGACATATGCGTTCACCCGTGGTGATGCGCTAAATATAATCTGTATTAGAATCTGCTCTGAATTAGAGAGAGGGTAAATGCTTATAATTTAACTGAAATGTTGAGAATTCTGTGCTTCCCGGGTTCTCCAGAAAATCAGCAGTTCTGCTAAAAAAGGTCCCTGCCTTTCTCATTTGTGTCTCTGCACAGGAAGCCTGCCTTCTCATTGAGGGATCCTGTCACAGAGATGTGTGAATCCTTGGATAAATTTGGCCTGGTGACGGCAATGCCTTCTTCAGAGACACTGCTACTTCCTCCCTGCTCCTTTTCTTCCCTGACCTGAGATTCCTAGTGTTAATCCCTGTGATAAATCAGAGGGTTTGCCCTTTTCACACTGTCTAGCTACTAGACATCCTCTGCTTTCCCTCCCCGCTTTCAGGACGACCTGGGCTTGAAGTGTCAACACTGTGGCTGCCAAGGAGATGGGGGCCTCCGAAGCAGCACTCCTGGTGGTGCAGCCTTAGTTGGTTCTTCTCTGTGCTGCTATTGGCAGAATTTCTGGGAGCTGCTGGGGGATGTCTGGGTAGTTCCAATGGAGCCCCACCATCTTGCTAGGAAGAGCGGCCAGGCAGCCTGGTGTGATGCTGCGGACTGGGGTTCAGGAGGGCCTCCAGCTGACCAGGCAGATGCAGCAGCCACCAAAGCTGCTCTCTGCTGCCAGAGACACTGCACGTCCCCGCCAAGAGCAGCCGAGGTGGAAGGCTCTAAACTTGGTCCTTCTCCAGCCTCCCCCTCCCCCTCTCTGCAAGACAGCGTGATCCAGCCAAACTCCTTCCCACCAGAACCTCTCAGCTCAGGGAATCACCAAATAGCAGAACGGAAAGTCTGCAATTGCTGCAGCCAGGAACTAGAAACTTCTTTCACCTACGTGGACGAGAATGTGAACTTGGAGCAGAGGAACCAGAGCTCCCCTTCAGCCAAAGGGAGTAATCACCAGGGAGACCTTGGCTGGGGAAATCCCAACGAGTGGTCCCACGAAGCTGCCATCTCCTTGATATCCGACGATGAAGAGGACACGAGTTCGGAAGCCACGTCTTCAGGGAAGTCCGTAGACTATGGTTTCATCAGCGCCGTCTTGTTCTTGGTCACTGGCATCTTGCTGGTGATCATCTCTTACATCGTCCCACGGGAAGTGACTGTGGATCCCAACAGCGTGGCAGCCCGGGAGATGGAGCGCCTGGAGAAGGAGAGCGCCAGGCTGGGGGCGCATCTGGACCGCTGTGTGATTGCCGGGCTCTGCCTGCTTACTCTTGGGGGGGTCGTTCTGTCCTGTTTGCTAATGATGTCTATGTGGAAGGGGGAGCTGTACCGTCGCAACAGGTTTGCCGCTTCCAAAGAATCTGCAAAACTCTATGGTTCCTTCAGCTTCAGGATGAAAACCAGCAGTCACGACAATGCCCTGGAGCTGTCCTTGGTAGAGGAAGATGCTCTGGCTGTACAGAGTTAACTCTGGTTGTGAACTTGAGAGTCTGCCTTGGCATTCTGCCTTGGCATTTTTTATATGAAAACACACACACACACACATACACACACACACACACACACACACACACACAAATCCCATTTCTTAAAATTAACAGTGCAGTTTGTTTGCCTGGCAAGAAAAATTGATTTCCCAAACCAACAGCCTGTGAGTGTTTTTGTTCTCCACATATTTTTTATTTAGAAGAAAAGCCATGTAAGTTGCATTAAGAAACCACACTCAGCTACACCTGTCCTTCTAAAGAGCTGAGATAGATTAATCCGTGATGGCCATCAACTTCTACTTCTCCAGCAAAATATTTCTAATGGCCCAGTGTACAAATGATTTCTTTGATAAGATATAGGATATTATTCTTTGGACACTAGGAGTTCCATACACAGATCAATTGTAGACATCAATTTTGTCAAAAAGAGCTTAAGCACTAATCATATAATATGGTTTATAGTTAACTAGAGGCCTGGTGCACGAATTTGTGCACGGGTGGGGTCCCTCAACCTGGCCAGTGATCTGGGCCAATTGGGGCCATCTCACCCAGTCCTGATTGGGGCTAATAGGGGTTGGCCGGGGAGGGACTGCAGGAGGGCTCCCTGGCATGTCGGGACCTCTCACCCAGTCCCAATCAGCCAGACCCCAGCAGCAACCTAACGTACCAGTTGGAGCGTCTACCCCCTGGTGGTCAGTGGGTGTTACAGCGACTGGTTGAGACACAGCATATTACCCTTTTATTATATAGGATTCTTAAAGTTTCTTATTCATTTTTTTGATATTTTTTTCTATAATTTGGCTACACACTAAAATATAGGGTTTTGAGTTTGAATGTTTCAAAAAGTGAGGATTGTTGGCTATTTTTTAAACTACAAATTGCATATGTTTAAAATTACCCCTGTACTCAGAAGTTGTAATTAAGTCATTAGAATACACTTTCTAGTAAAAGGAAATTATATAAATCATTATGAGACCAATCTGAATTTGACCCATAATGGTAATGCCAGATATTAGCCAGTGTCTCATGCCCATTCTCTAGATGAAATAAAATTACTGGCTGATATAAATTTCATTTTTTGTCTGTGGTTTAGCTATGATACTGGTTACCCATGCTCTTGAAGTCCTTCCTGGCTCTCACATCAGAGAGGCAGTTCGTAAGACATTTTAAAAATATTTCCAGACATGCAAACATCTAGGCAGGTTTGAGTCATGATTGGCTCAGGCACACTCCCAGGTGATGTTTTGTTGTTTGGAGAAACTTCCAATACAATTGTAGCTGGACTTGGGGACTGTGCCTAGAAGCATGTATCACTGGCTCTAGGCCACACAATGAGACATTGACCCAGGATGGCAGCAGTCCTTAAGCCCATAGACAAAAAATTAAAATGGGGAGAGAGTGAATGGGAACTGCACCCCTCATCACAATGGTCTAGGCATCATTCTGAGCTCTTATATCCAAGCCCTCAGTGACTGAGCTCAGGAAGCTCCTATGAGAGGCATGTTGGGCAATGTGGCAAAACACCCAGTATACACGCTAACACATCATCTTCCCTATGGTAGTGGTTCAGGAAGTGCAGCCTCAGAAAGATCTTGAATTTTGCAATTCCTTGAGTTGGTTCTAACCTCACGCTGGAGGATTTGTGGTTTCCATACTGTGTTACCATTTTCAGTGGGGTCATTCTGAAAGAGGACTGGAGCTGGGGGTTGGGGTGGGAGGGCAGGCATGGGGAAGTAAGAAAGTGATTTCTTTGCAGATTGTAAAGCCTCCTAATGCCTGCAGTCTTTTGTTGTTGAGGACTGTGGAATACGTGGGTGACTTTGGCTGGCAGAGTGTGTGAGTCAGGATTTCTATATGAATGAGCTCTTGGGTGTCAAATGGATTTGATAAGTATGCAGTGTGTGACTAAGGGTTAAGGGGAAACACAAAAGGGAAGGTCAGAGGACAGTAAAAAATAGAGAGAATGGGTATGTGAAAAAACTACTAGGCAAAAAAAAATAACAACCAAGAAATATATGAACATTGGAGGAAGTTAGAGAGAGATCAGTTACCCTATAGCCTATTATTGATTGAGGAAGAATTGGGACAAGCTGTACATGATTTCTGTTTTCTACTGCTGGTTCTTTGTGCTTTTTGAACAAACGTTTTGTTTTTCTGTGAATCTCATGTCATTTTGTGCTTTGTGTTGAGGCCAGCTTACCAGTGGTGTAAGTTGCATGTTCTAAAGGTTTATAAGTTGTCAGGTTTTCGCCTGCTTGAGGGCCCTCCTTGAACGATGTCGAGGCAATCAGGGAATGATCTGCTCGGCTGAGTGAGTAGATCTGAGCTATTTGTTTTTGTTTTAAATACATTTTGAAAATACATGTTTATTCATAGAAGCTAAGTGGGATCAGCTGAGTTTTGTTTTTATTTATTGATGAGCAGGATTCATTTAGCCAAGTCACAGACTAAATTGAATTAATTGTGTGGCCTGATTTTCAGCTTATTTTAGAACAAATTTAAGAATCGAGTGTTTAGGAAGTTTTTTCAATTCTGTAAAACTGACAATAAAGGAGAAAAACACTAAAGCTTTTTAGCTTTTCATTAGGAAGCATTTCATATATCTTGCAGTGCTACCAAATGATATATAGTTCTGATGTGACCTAAAAGAGATATGTGGGGTGTGTGTGTGTGTAAAGAGGGGGGGGGGATTAGGACAAGAAAATATTCAGAAGTGGAAAAATTTAACAGGTCAGAATATATATATATATTTTAATTTTAAAATTGAAATGTCGTAAGTAAATGCTTATTTAAACATTATTTAAGTATGTTCATTTACAGAGCACATTTTTAAGGTTCTAAATCATAGGAGGACAGACCATTACACCAAAAGGACCCAAGGAAGATTACTTGAATTTAAAGTGATGGTGGCACAGGCAACTAAAACCCCTGAAGTTTAGACATGTTTCCAATCTGATGAAGAGGGCTTTGGGGGGCTCTAAATATTTACTTAGAAGTACTTTGTCAAGATCAGGTGATAACTGATATAGACACTGAGTGGACCATAGCTGTGGTGTTGATTTTGAGTCCTTCGTGGAGCTTTATTACCTTACACTTCTCTCTTCAACGTGGTGCTGGTTGTTATCTATGAGAGTTTTTATTGCCAGACCTGGAAAACAAAACTTTTTTCAGAGGTCCGTAGTTTAGGCCTTTAATTTATGTGTCAGGTTTCAGAAAGCTGAGTTCAGAGTCACCTTCCTAATCTTAAGGGAAGGCAGCTCATTGTTCAATAATGCAGCCCAAAGGGTTGAGTACCAGAAGGAAAGCTGTCTTTCTCCATTTCTCCATGCTACTAATGGACAGTTTAATTCTCTTCATGACTTTCATAAACTGTTCCTTTTTAGGGGACCTAAAACTGTCTTTGGCAGAGCTGAAGTGCTTTCTTTGCGATGCTGTATGTCCTTTCCAGCCATTTGGAGCATCTGAAGCAGACCGTGTACTACACCATGTACTGACCCCTCATAAAAAGAATGTCTTTTCTCTAGGCTCCCCATGTCCCAGCTGACTTACCAGTTAGAGGGGTGTGGGACTGCTCGGAACCATGAAGTGCTTGGTGACTGTGGGTGCTCTTACCCACGACTGCTATGCCCCTTGATCCTGTACTAACAAGGTACTGCCTTGATATCAATCAGTATCACATGCTCTGCTCTTTGCTTAAAATACCTGAGTCCATCCCTCTCAGACTTACTTGTTTTAGGGACTGAGGTGGACCAGTGCCAAAACAAGTCCTTCAAGGTGCAAATTCAGACAAAGAGACTGCCCTTCCAAATTTATGTGTGCCTTACCTTTGCCTCCAGGCATAAGAATAAATGAGTGAGTGAGCATTATACCCATTGAATATCAGGAATTAAGGGTCTGAACCCAAGTGACTGTACATTTTGTTATTTCTCTGTGACAGGCAAAAATTTTAGGCAAGAGGACTTGAACATTTCAACCACCATCTTTCACATGTGACAGGCACATGCAAAACCTTACCTAGATGAATCACCTAAAGCTAAATAAAAAATGTTCCCAGATGTATTAGGAGAAGGTTTTTCAGTCTGAAGGTCAGATTCCTTTGTGGCAGTTACTACGATGATAAAAATGTGGTCTGACAAAGGAGATTCACAACCTTCACCAACGGTTCACCTAGTCAACAAGATTTAATACTACCAACTAGATTCCACTGTGACAAAGGAATAAGGTCTTCACAGTTCTCTGTAATGGGGTTTTACTTTCCCAAGAACTGGACATCAAGAGTGACTATAATGAGAAGAATTAGAATGGCTTCCCCAGTATGAAAGGGTTCATGAGAATTAACACATTATCCTTCAGCCGATTTTTAGCTATATCATTTTATGGCTCATAGAACTCTATAATATTCTCTCCTTCAACTTGTATGGGCATAAGCTTTAGAAAATAATTTGCCCGACTCCCGCACTGACACTGTAAAAAGTAAGAGGTTATTTAAGTACATAAAATTGATTTTTTAAAAATCCGTGGCCAACACTTGAGAGTGCTCCTGTGGTTTATGTTTGTTAGTGTGCAAGTTTAGGTACATTCAAGACTATGTATGCCAGGAGAATGTTTTATAACTAGAGAACATAATATCCAAAGATGTTAGATGCCGGGAGCCGGTCCATCCTTGCTGCTTGACACAGTCGCTGCAGGAAAGAAACATCTGCACAGCATATGTTTCAATGGACCTGGCGTATATAGCATATTGTTCTTAATATGTTTGCTCTCCTTAGCGCCATGTGTTTTAACCAAGGTCACCCCTCCGAGAAAGGTTGTTTCCCCAGGTGGGGATCTTTCCCTGAGGTTAGGGAGGGGATACAACCCCTTAATTAAGTGCCAGGCGGGTAGTTAAGCTACATAATCTTTACTCCCTGGAATGGAGATAAGAAACGCCCTAACCTTTGTAATAGAAATTGACAGGATTAAAATCGGCTGGTATAAATACGGATGTAACAAGACAATAAACAACACAAC